AACATCTTATGTCAATTGCATTGAAAATGAATTTTTCTGTATGAAACTGTGTATTTTAATAATGAAATGGAAATTTTTTTAAAGGTTAAAACCTCATTTAACTTTATGACTTATAGGGTTTATACTGAGCACAATACTGTATAACTGTAATTATTCAACTGTAAACCTAAAAATTTACAGCCAATTTTGAAAGAGATGCATCCTACCTCAGGAAACCATTATTGAATATGTCAATTGTGTTGTAATGATATGCTTCTTCTAAGTATGTTGTTATTAAATAAATCATTTTAAAAAAATAAAAATAAAGTGCATGTCTGATAATTATAATGAAGGCTGAGTATAAATTGAAGACACATGCTTCTTCAGGTTTACTTAGAACACACCTGTTTATGTAGATAATATAACTAGTTTAGTATTAGAAATTTAGAATTTTCTTTCAAAGAAAAATAATATATAACAGTGAAATATATTTTTGAAATTGGCTTTGAATTTCAATTTCATGAATAATGTTTCGTACACAGAGGAAAGCAGACATCGAAATGGACAATACAGATGTCTGATCTTTGGAAAGCTCTGTCATCTGTTGTACTCTAGGTGCTAAAGCTATGTAAAGAATAACTTAATTTTAAATAATTTTGCTATGCTTTAGCCTCTTTTTTTCTTAGAAACTAAACACCAGTTACCAGAGGTTGTCAACCAATGTCCTTCACCATTTCTACAGAGCTCCACCCATCTCCAGAGATGACAGGCTGTGCTCAGCAGACCCACCCCCGCCTCAGCCTCCTCACCCAGGCTCTGATACCTGGAATCAGCTTCAGCGCATTCTCCAGGTACTCATCTTCTGTGATGGGGTGTCCATTCAGCTTCAGCTCCAGCATGAAATCCCGAACGGTCCAGACAAAGTCTGGAAAGAAACCCACAAATTCTGTAGAATCCTCTATTCCATTGGGATCCGAAGAGGACTTTGCCCTTATTAGTTCTGTGAGTTCTGTGACATAACTAGCACTTGGCTAAGAAAAAGGAAATACAGACACACCATTCCCATGATTCTCTTATTTTTAAATGCTGCTTTAAACACTCTTTTCTACCCCAGGTCTCCTCTTCTTCACCAAAACTCAATACTCAATGACAAGGTAGGTAAAATGCCTCAATATTCATTCCCAAAGCACTCAGAGAACCATGGTGGTTCAGACCCTGTAAGGATACTGCAGCTGCTCCAGGGCCTGGTGGTTGATGGTGCCCATACTGTTGTAGACAAAGGTGCTGCTCAGAAGCACGGCCAGGGCGAAGATCCACGAGTCATTCTTAGGGTCCCCCTGGAAGACACATGGGAGCAAGAAACTCCTCAGAAACTCATTTAGAGCAGTATAGGGGGCATAGAATCCAAGTATGCTACATACTTGCATGAAAAAGGCCTATGGGTTTAAATATATGTGTGTGTGTGTGTGTGTGTGTGTGTGTGTGTGTGTGTGTGTGTGTAAAAGCCCAAGGACTTAGCTTAATGATATAGCACATGCCTACATATGTAAGGCCCTAGGTTTAATCTCCAGTAATGAGAAAGGAAGGGGAAAAAGGAAGGAAGGAGAGCGGGAAAGAGGGAGGGAGGAAGGGAGGGAGGAAGGAAAGAAGGAAGGAAGGAAGGAAGGAAGGAAGGAAGGAAGGAAGGAAGGAAGGAAAAGAAATTTAGTCTATCCATCATTCAGCTATTATTTCAGCTAAGATACAGTAAGGTATTCAATATTCAAAGGAAACAGGCATGGATGCCAATAATAGCTTTGACAATTATGACAAGAATTTCTTCACATTATTGAAGGATGCAAATCTTTATAATGTTTTTCTTCAATTATATGAAATAAGATAACACAGAGAAAAACTGGGGAAAATGGTGCTGTATCAGGTTCTCAATAGGGTATTCAGTGATGAATGTTAGCTTTTCTTTATTATATA